GAGAGAGCGAAACATTGGTTTGTTGTTCCACTTATTTGTGCATTCACTGGTTAATTCTTATATGTGCCCTGACCAGGGAACAAACCCAAAACCTTGGCAATTAGGACTATGTTCTAACCGACTGAGCTACCTGGCCAGGGCTATTACTTTTGTTTTTAAAACAAAAGTGAGTGTATTCCCCTGCCCCTCCCCAAAAAAGGTGGTTTGTGGGTTTTTTTCTTTTTCGTAAATGCCAAAAATCAAAATTAAGTCTTGCTACTCTGCCCATCCCTGACCCCTAATCCCTAGGGCGGCCCCTGGGAGGGCTGCCCCTCCACTACTGGCTCTTCTGGGTGCCCTCTAGGCCCTCCAGCGTGTTCACCTCTTCTTTATCCACAGTGGAGCTGCAGCAGAAAGACCGGGCACTGGTGGAGCTGCTGCAGGAGAAGGTCGGGCTTTTTGCAGAGATGACGCATTTCCAGGTGGAAGAAGATGGCACTGGGATGCCCATGCCCACCCTGCCCAGGGGCCTCTTCCGTTCTGAGTCCCTTGAGTCCCCTCGGGGCGAGCGGCTGCTGCAGGATGCCATCCGTGAGGGTGAGGGAGCGCCTAGGGGAAAGGCTGGGCTTGTCCACTCACTGGCACAGAATGTGGACACGTGGCTAGACCTGGACGCATGCAGACAAACGGGACGTTGGCCCCACAGCCCATCGACTCCCTTGAGTGTCTGCTATGTGCCAGGTGCCGGGAAAGGCAGGGGAAGAGATGTGCTTACTACTGTTGGACATCTGTCGCCCTGCGTACACTGGTGCTGCCCTTGGGCATCTGTAATGAACTTTGCCTTGTACGCGTGGTGTGAGGGCCCGCACGTGCGGGGCATTCCCCTAGGTGCCTGCGTAGGCCACGTGTATTGGGTAAGTAGCATCGCCTCCCATTCCTCACTTCCTCTTCTCCCCCTTCAGTGGAGGGCCTGAGAGACCTGCTGGTGGGGCCTGGAGTGGAGCTGCTCTTGATGCCCCGGGAACCAGCCCTGCCCATGGAAGCAGAAAGTGGTAACACAAGTCCTGGAATCACTGCCAGTGAGTGCCAGGGTAGGGGACCAGGGTGGTGGGTGGGAGGGCTTAAAGAGAATGGGGTGGTACCATGGACCAAGTGCTGTCAGGGTCCTGGGGAAGTGAGCTCAGCCCATCCTTTCCTCCTCAGCAGATGGTGAGGCTAGAATCTTCAATGGCTCCATTGAGCTCTGCAGAGCCGACTCAGACTCCAGCCACAAGGTGAGTCCTCAGATGTCAGGACTTGGCTAGAGGATGGGAAGGGGACGGCTGGCCTATAGATTCTTGACATGGGACAGGCACCAGGGACTTGTGTGCTTGGTGACTCCCTATCTTTGCCCATTTCTGCAGGACCGAAATGGAAATCAGCTGAGATCTCCCCAGGAGGTGAGATGGGAATTTGATGGTATAGGAGACTGAAGGGAGGGTATTCTTAGTCTGAGAAATTGGAGCCCAGTTTGGAGGGGTGTGGGGCAGTGTACACCTCAAAGTTATCTGGAGTCTTACTGTCCCCATACCCATACCTATTCAACTTCTGGGCAGTTCTCCCATCCTGAAGCTTGAGCCTTGTTCCCACCCTCTCCTCTGTCCTCAGGAAGCGTTGCAGCGATTGGTCAATCTTTATGGACTACTGCATGGCCTACAGGTCAGTGGGCAAGGGCAGGAATGGGGAAGGGGAGGGCCCAGAGCAGAGCTGCCCATTTAGGTGAACAAAGTCATTCTAATAGGCCTTTTTTTAAAAAAAAAAAATTTTTATTGATTTTAGAGAGAGGAAGGGAGGGGGGGAGAGAGAGAGAGAAACATTGATGAGAGAGAAACATTAATTGGTTGCCTCCCACACGCACCCTGACTGGGGATTGAATTCAAAACCTGGGTAAGTGCCCTGGCTGGGAATCGAACTGGCAACCCGTCAGCGCACAGGACGATACTCAATCAACTGAGCCACACTAGCCAGGGCCTACTAGGCCTTTCTAAGCCTTTTCCCAGTTGTAGCCCTCCAGGAATCCTGACCTGGCTCCTGGGGGTGAGAGTAAGGGGTAGAAGAAGCGGGGGTTCTGATATACCCATCTGTTCCTATTCCACCCCAGGCGGCTGTGGCCCAGCAGGATACTCTGATGGAAGCCCGATTCCCCGAGGGCCCCGAGCGGCGGGAGAAGCTGACCCGAGCCAACTCTAGGGATGGGGAGGCTGGCAGAGCTGGGGCTACCCCTGCGGCTTCTGAAAAGCAGGCCACGGAACTGGCGTTACTGCAGCGGCAACACGCGCTGCTGCAGGAAGAGCTGCGGCGCTGCCGGCGCCTCGGTGAAGAGCGGGCGACAGAGGCCGGCAGCCTGGAAGCCCGGCTGCGGGAGAGCGAGCAGGCCCGCGCGCTGCTGGAGCGGGAGGCTGAAGAGGCGCGCAGGCAGCTGGCCGCCCTGGGCCAGGCCGACCCCATCCCCCCGGAGGCTCCCTGGGTCCGCAGGCCTCTGGATCCTCGGCGGCGGAGCCTCCCTGCAGGCGATGCCCTGTACTTGAGCTTCATCCCCCCACAGGTAAGGAAGCTTGGAGTAGGGAGCCGACCAGAGGTGGGCATTAGGGTCCATGGGAGAACCTGAAAGGAGTTGGGGATTTGAGCCCAAATGAAATTGGGCAACAGGCTTTAAGGATATTAGGCTGTTAGGGAACTGAACACTTCAGGTGGGTGCAGAAAGAAACCAGTCAGTGGTGGATGTACTGAGAGAATTGAGTCTTGGGGCCTACGAGGGCCCAGTGCCCCCAGCTGAGCAGGGCCTGCAGTCTTCACACTGCTCATTCCCTGACCTGCTGCTTTTCCTACCCGCGGTCCATAGCCCAACCGAGGCCATGACCGCCTGGATTTGCCTGTGACTGTTCGCTCTGTCCATCGACCCTTTGAGGATCGAGAGAGGCAGGAACTGGGCAGCCCTGAGGAGCAGCTACAAGATAGCAGTGACCCTGACACTGGCAGCGAGGAGGAAGGTAGCAGCCGTCTGTCTCCGCCCCATAGTCCACGAGGTGAGATCCTGGCAGAGACATGGAATAGAAGTGGGGTACAACCTGGGTTCAGATCCTTGGGCTGTGCTTTCCAAATTAGTCTGTGTCCTGGAGCACAGGAACATTAAGGAAGGTCCCTAACCACTGAGGTCCACAGTAACTCTTGGGAGGGACACAAGGATTTCCTGTTTTGTCGGATGGTGAATGAGTGGCGAAACTAGAAAGCAAAGAATATAGGGGCCACTCCTCCAGTAAGCCAGTGATTCCCAACCTTTGCAAGTAGAAATATATATATTTTTTAGAGAGAGAGAGAGGAGGAAGGGAGAGAGAAACATCCACTTACTTATGTATTCATTGGTTAATTCTTGTATGTGCCCTGACCGGGGATTGAGCCAGCAACCTTGGCGTTATCAGGACAACACTCTAACCAACTGAGCTACCCGGCCAGAGCTAGAAATAGACTTTTTAAAGTAAAAAAAAGTCAAAGACCTCCAGGTTCCTATAGTTGGTTCAGGAAATACAAAATAACCAAAAGCTACTATAACTTAGTATCTTAAAATATTTTCTGTCTTATTAATCAAATTGTATCTTCATATACTTACCAGTATACAAAGTACCTAAGTGTGGGCACATTATTTATTTTGTTGTCGGAAGTTTTTCCCTCACCCAAGGATTCACGGACATTGGTCATCCCTCACAGCCCTCAGATGGGGAGACGTTAGTGTAGGGGTGCTCATGGAGCCTCTGCTCACTCACCAACTTTGTCCTGTCCCCTTCAGATTTCACCCGAATGCAGGATATACCAGAGGAGACCGAGAGCCGTGATGGGGAGCCTGTAGCTTCAGAAAGCTAAGGGGGCCCCTCCCTCCTTCCTGTGCCCCCTGAAGAACATTACTGAGGGAGGCAAACCTTGGGGACTCCAACCTGCCAATGACCAGGGAACACTTGAACTGCTGATTGTCCTTGCCAGCTCTTGGGATCCTTGGATACCTGGGGCCATTTAGGAAGCTGGGGGGAATTATACCACAGTGCCCCCTGGTGGCATCCAGAAGCTACACCACAGATGCCAATTTTTCATGCCTTCTTCCCTCTACTTTAGGAAAATTTATTTATTTATTATTAGTTATGGAGGGAGAGGGGAGTTTTAGAGGACCAGGGACATGGGAACCAAGCCATAGGGATAAAGGGGCCTTGTCCTTTAACACTACTGGGGTTTGTTCAGACTTAACCATGCAGCTGCTGGGTTCTAGCCCCAACACCCTCCCAGGAATACCGTCTTTGAGGAGAGGCTGCAGCTGTAGGACCCAACTGCCCCTTCAATAACGGCTGTGGGCAGGGCCATATCCCTCTCCCCTCAGCCTCTTACTGCTGTTCTCGCTTCTCTCTGTCCTCAGTGGAACCCCAGGGAGACAACCTGGCTTCCTAGAGTTGATGGAATAGAGGTTGAGGTGGCCATATGGTCTGTTGGGGGTGAGGGAAAAACCCACAGGGACCAGAATGTCTTTTTGTTGCTGTTTTATTTTTTTTGTACCAAAGCCAACTGCACGTGTTTTATATTTTTAAGAGAAGATTGTAGGCAATTAGAAATTGCAGCCTTCTATCTCCCCATTTCTGAAGAACTTGAGGGATGGGGGAAACAATGACTTTACTCCTCATCTGTAGTAACGGGGGACCTAGTCTGATCTCTTCCCCAGCCATTTGGAAACAAAGTTCTAGGATGAGCTGGGAAATCTCTATGAACCCTGACCTTATCCCCCACCTCACCAACCATGACCTGAAACCTCAGCCTGAATTGGGGGGGATTTTCAATAGACCCTCAGTGCTCACAAGCCCCAGCCATTTTTCTGCCAATTTGGTTGTAAAAAAAAAGAAAAGAAAATTAAAGACCTGGAACCCCATGAAGTCCTGTGTCCAAATGTCTGCTGGTTCCAGTGGTGCTGTTGATGGGGAGCCAGGCAGTGACCTATGTTCCTCCGAAAGGGGCCTTTTTCACTCACAGGAAGGGCAAGATGGCCTCACTGAAGACAGGGGACCCTAACAAAAGAAACTACCAACTTTTTTTGTTATTGTTGATATTCACAAACACAAGGTTAGGTTCCAGAGGCTCTTGGGGATTCCAATATTAGAAAACTTGTTTTCATCTCATTTGCGTGCTGTGCTCAGAAACTGCACCAGTCTCTTGCCCTCTTCCCTCTCTTTTTGCACAGTTCCTCTGAGCCTTTCCTGGGTGTCATTTGTTTTCAGATTCAGCCACCACTCTGCCTTGGTTCTTCAGTGTCAGAGCCCTGGGGTAACCTCTTCAAGATGGTTCCCCTCAGGGGAGCTGCTCCTTCGCTCTTAAGCAGTGAGAGATTAGGTTAATTTCAGTTCTCATTTTCATGAACTTTACTTCCTGTTTCTGGTTAATGCCCTACTTGGGGGCTGTGGGGGAGGCTAGTCTAGAGTTGCAGAAATGCTGGCATATGTGCACCTATCTCTGGGAGCCAGTGGGGTGAGACGAGAACAGGGCTCAAGGCCTCAGAAAGAGGAATTGGAATCCCACCTTGGGGGCGGGCTTGGGGGAGCAGCCAGCACCCTCCACTCCTGTGATTCTCACCCACCAGTATCAGGCCTTTACAAGGTACTTGCTCATCTGTTACAGAATCTCAGGGCACCAGAGGCCACAGTGCTGGGCAGTGGAGCCAGCCAAGTGCCAGAATGGCAGGGGACACCTGGGGCTCTTAGCAGGAGGCTCCAGACCTCAGAGGGCAGGGGCTGTGGATGGGACAACCCACCCCATCCTTGTTCGTGGTGACTGGTGGTGGGTGGCGCAGGGTGAGAGAGGGCCGGACATTTGGTGTGTATGTGTGGTATGTGTTGGAAGGGCTCTCTGCAGTAGAGAGGGAAGAGGGAAAGGGGAATTACCCCATGAACAGCAGCCCCAAGTCTCCATCCCAGGAAGAGAAACAGAGATACCCCTTCTCAGGCATGACAGGAGCCACACTGCAGCCCCTCTTCCTACAAGTGTGCAGGGGCCCCCTTCTCTGCAGAAAATGTTCCCTTAGGGCCTGGGGGAAGGGGCCTGGGAGGGGGCATATGGCAGGGAATCAGAATGGGTGTCAGAGAGAGAAGAGGTTCTGCAGTCTCACTGGTATGACTTTGGGTGAGTTACTTTACTCCCCTAAGCCTCAGTTTTCTTGCTTGAAATTTTCAGATAACTCCCCTAAGCCTCAGTTTTCTTGCTTGAAATTTTCAGATAACTCCCCTAAGCCTCAGTTTTCTTGCTTGAAATTTTCAGATAACTCCCCTAAGCCTCAGTTTTCTTGCTTGAAATTTTCAGATAACTCCCCTAAGCCTCAGTTTTCTTGCTTGAAATTTTCAGATAACTCCCCTAAGCCTCAGTTTTCTTGCTTGAAATTTTCAGATAACTCCCCTAAGCCTCAGTTTTCTTGCTTGAAATTTTCAGATAACTCCCCTAAGCCTCAGTTTTCTTGCTTGAAATTTTCAGATAACTCCCCTAAGCCTCAGTTTTCTTGCTTGAAATTTTCAGATAACTCCCCTAAGCCTCAGTTTTCTTGCTTGAAATTTTCAGATAACTCCCCTAAGCCTCAGTTTTCTTGCTTGAAATTTTCAGATAACTCCCCTAAGCCTCAGTTTTCTTGCTTGAAATTTTCAGATAAATGTCTGCTTCACAAGATTGGTGTGATAAATGAGATAATACATGTTAAAAACAAAGCACTTGGCATGTTGCTATTTGCCTGAATGGTTACTATTTTAAAAGAAAAGTTTGGGGTATTTGTGGCAGAAGGGAGCAGGGTACTGAGCAATTATCACCAAGCCCAGGGAACAAGTGCCAACTAAAACAGGTTTAATTCACTGCAGCAGCAAGTGACCTTGAGGCTAGGGGCAGGGAGGGAAAGGGGAGAAGTCACAGCTTCCTGCTCCCTCCTTACTGGGAACAGAGCCAGAGAGGACCTGAATGGGCCTGGGCATGCCCTTACTTCTGTTCCTGCTCCTGAGTATTAAGTAGTCCCGCTAACCTCTATCACTCCACGGCTTTTGCACCTTTCCTGCTCTAGTCTATGCAGTCAGAAGTCCACAGCAGCCCCTCCTCTTCTCCAATCCCCAGACCCTATTTCAAGAGTTATGGATCCAGCCCGGCCGGGCGTGGCTCAGCGGTTAAGCATCGACCTAGGGTCCAGGCGATCAGGGTTCGATTCCCGGTCAGGGCACATGCCCAGGTTGTGGGCTGCAGCTGATCAATGACTCTCTCATCATTGATGTTTCTATCTCTCTCTCTCCCTCTCCTTTCCTCTCTCTGAAATCAATAAAGATATATTTTAAAAAAAAAAAAAAGTGTTACGGATCCTGAGATACACTCTCACCACACCTCATCCTGTCTCCCCATGATCTCAGTCCTAACAGGAAAAAATGCTTCATTGGGTCCTCCCCTTTTATGCCCATATCCCTACCCTTTGCAGAATTTGCTGTGATGGGGAAACAGGTGGGAGGTGGGTAAATAGAAGAGTGAGGTTTTTCAAGGATTCCAAAATAGTCAACACCTTCCTGCCCTTTGCCAACTAATTACAATGTTTGATGTTCAGTTTGCTTGAAGTGCTGGGGGAAGGGGTCCTTCAGGACAATAAGTCAGCAGTGGGTTTAACGAACCCTATAGAAGAGAGCCAGAGGTAAAGAGATCCAGACTGGGTGCCAGGATATTTGTTTTTTTCACAAGGAATGGGTGTGAAGGGGGTGGTAAAAGGGAATTGCCCAGCCCAAGTTCTGATGAGTCCCACGGGTTCCCTCCTGGCCTCACAAACTGACCATGTTTACTTTCCCACCCATCCAAGTGTCACCTTGCCAATCTAGCAGTGAAAGTGTCTGCTTAATGCATTAGACTTATTTTCCCTTGGCTTGGAGAAAAGAAGCTGGGTCAGAATTCTAGGGTTCTGCTATCCCATTTATAATATCTGGTCCTCTGATCAATTCTTTACCTTTATTCATTTCTAATCTAAATCCTTTTCCTTGCTCTAGCAATACTCCCTTGTGGATATGTAGAGAAATGATGCCACCAGCTGGCTGAGTCTAAGAACTTCACTTGGGGCCCTTTCACTTTTCTAGAATTTTGTTGGTTGATCCTTTCCTCCTTCCTTCCTTCCTTCCTTCCCTCCCTCCCTCCCTCTGCATTATTAATTCATTCATGCACTAATCACAGCATTTCCAAAGCTGTTACTATGTGCTAGGCACTGTGCTAGATGCTGGGAAGATAAAAATTAATAAAATAAGGTCCCTCACCTCTTAAAATATAATAAACTTTTTGAGATGGATGGGATCTTTAAGATAATCTAGTTCAATTTGTCATTTTATAGGGAGTGGAAGTGACTTGCCCAAGGCCACCAAGGAGTGGTGGCAGAGCCAGAATTTGAGATAAAAGTCTTAACTCTTAGAATCTGGCTCTTTCCATTACATCACAAAACAATACCCTTTAGGTATTTCTTTCCACCTATAATCTCATCCCCCTTTCTGTGTGCCAGAAGCACCAGTCCCTGCCCTTGGGAAGCTTCTAGGCTGCAGATGAAAACAGATGTGAACAAAGGGACAGTGACAGCTCCTCTCTAGATGTCCTTCATTCACAGCTGCTGGGAGATGAGGAAGAAAGGGATTCAACAAGAATGACGTCACTGTCCCTTGAGTTCATATACTTTATCAGCCCCATTTTCTATCTCAGTAGAGTGCGAGGACCTGTAATGGTAGATTGTAGTGTCTGCCTGACATAAAAAGGACTTCTAATGACCAGGCCTTCCTTCGTCACTGAATATTTACTCCTCCCTCGGCCCACAAATCTCTCTACCCCACGTCCCTGTCCCTTCATTCCAGAGCCTAGGCAAAGAGGGTGAGGGGTGGGGAGGCAGGAGGGTCTGAGTTATCTTTCCACAGAACCAAAAGAGAAAAGCTCTGCATTTGTGGCAAAGGAGACAGAGACTAGCTGCTTGGGCAACTACAAGTGGCAGGAGTAGGAGAACTGCCCCTAATCCAAATCCCCAACCTCACATGAACCCCTCAGCCACCATTTCATACACCTTCACGTGTGTGATGAGATCTACCAAAGAAAATCCTCCAGTCCTGGTAAGGGAAAGGGCAGCTCCAATGCTCTCCTGGTAAGGGAAAGGGCAGCTCCAATGCTCTAAGTAAATCTATCTCTGTCTTTCCCCTTTCCTCCCAATCTCTATCCCTCCCTCCCTCCTTTTCCCTCTCCCCTACTCTCAACTTTATATTTTGGAATACTTTTAGATTTACAGAAAAATTGCAAAGGCAATGAAAGTGATCACCTCTTATTTTCCATATTAAAATGGGCAGAGCATCAAAAATAAAAACCTTAGGATAAATCTGACAAAAGGTGTGCATTATTGGCACACTGAAAACCACAAAGCATTACTGAGAGAAAGAAGACTTAAATAAATGGAGAGGCATACAGTGTTCATGGGTTGGAAGACCCAATAACATGTCAATTTTCTCCATAATGGGCCTGTAGACTCAATGCAATCCTAATCAAAATTCTAGCAGACTTTTTTAAAAATAGAGATTGACAAGCTGATTCTGAAAATTAGATGGAAATGCAAATAGCCAAACAATTTAGTAAAAAAGATAAACTTTGGCCCAGCCGGCATGGCTCAGTGGTTAAGCATCGACCTATGAACCAGGAGATCATGGTTGGATTCCTGGTCAGGGCACATGCCCGGGGTGTGGGCTCCATCCCTAGTTGGGGGGGTGCAGGAGGCAGCCAGTCAATCACAACTCATCATTGATATTTCTCTCCCCTCCCTTCCTCTCTCTGAAATCAATAAAGATATATTAAAAAAAAAAAAAAAAAAGACATAGGGTAGCAGAGTGGATAAGAAACAAGACCAGGGGAGCATCTGGGCAGATAAATGGAAGTGTTGGTGATGGTCTGAGATATCACCACCAAGCTGGGAACTGGGGAGATGGCCGAGACTGACCCCAAGACCATGCAAGATCTCACCTCAGTGGTGCAGACACCCCTGCAACAGATGCAAGATAAATTTCAGACCATGTCCGTGACCAGATCTTTGGAAGAACTGATGACATGAGTCACATTGATGACCTGGAGAAAACATTGTAGACCTCATGTCACAGGCTGGAAGAACTGGAAGGTGAAAACAAGATACCTGCTACACAGAAGAGTTGAAGATACCCCGTTACACTGGAATATGAAACATTGTTTTTACAAGCCAAGAGAAGACTGAATGGCTTTTTGCAACTAATTACTATGTGTAGAGAGGTTTTTGTTGTAAAGTGTGCATTCTTCTTATCACATACTATATAGTTAGTTGATAGAGTGATTCCCCCAGCCCGTTTCTTAAACATGGTAACTTCACATCTTAGATTGTAGTCAGTTGTGCTATTAAATATTAAACACTAAAATTTGGCAGTTCCTAAAAAAAAAAAAAGAAAAGAAAAAGAAAACAAGACCAGCCTTGGCCAGTGTGACTGGGTTGGAGCATCATCCCCTACACCAAGGGGTGGCGGGTTCAATTCCTAGTCAGGGCACATACCCAGGTTGCAGGTTCAATCTCCAGTCGGGGTGAGTGCAGGAGGCAGCCAATGGTTTCTTTCTCACATCAATGTTTCTCTCTCTCTCTCTCCTTCCCTTCCTCTCCCTAAAATCAATTTAAAAAACAAGAAAGCAAGACCCATATATATGCTGTCTATAAGAGACCCACCTCAGAATGAAAGATACACACAGACTAAAAGTAAAGGGATGGAAAAAGATATTTCATGCAAATGGAAATTTTAAAAAAGCTGGGGTAGCAATGGTCATACCTGACAAAATAGTGTTTATTTTATTTTTTAAATATATTTTTATTGATTTCAGAGAAAGGAAGGAAGAGGGAGAGAGAGAAAGAAACATCAATGATGAGAGTCATTGATCAGCTGTCTGCCAAACGACCCCCACTGGGGATCAAGCCCACAACCTGAGCATGTGCCGTGAACCAGGAATGGCAATCTGGATCCTAGGTGGAGGCTCAACCGCTGAGCTACACCGGTCGGGCCTGACAAAATAGTTTTTAAAACAAAGGCTATAGTAAGAGACAAGGAAGGATACTACATAATAATAAAAGGAACAATCCAACAAGAGGATATAACTGGTAAACATTTATGCAGAGCACCTAAATATGTAAAGCAAATCTTGATGGACTTAAAGGGAGAGATAAACAGTAATAGTAGGGGATTTTAACACCCCATTGACATCAATAAATCTTCCAGACAGAAAAGCCAATAGATGTGTCTCTCTCACATCGATGTTTCTTTCTCTCTCCCACCTTCACCCTTCCTTCTACTCTCTCTAAAAATCTATGGGAAAAAATATCCTCACTGCTTGGATGAGGACTGTAATAAAAACACTATAGCAAAACAGTAGATCAATGCAACAGAAAATACATAAATATATATATTTCATTTATGATATAGGCGGCATTTGTGTGGAGGGGATATTTATCCAGTGCTGAAGGGGAAACACTATAAATTTGACTTTCAAATGCATTGGTATTCTATTAGTCCTATCAGAATGTAAACTTATTTGAAAAATAGTGCTGTATTATATTTATTTGAGCTAGAGACTCCTTGTGGCTCCAAGAAACCCCAAATGTTGGGAATCTGGTTTCCAAAATCAACTCAGACTTCTCAGCGGGCATTCAAGGCCTTTCATGATCTGGCCCCCACACTCCAGCCAGTTCAACGTCACGTACTAGATCGCAGAACAGGATTTCCTAACCTACACTGGATCACTTCTCCGCACTCGCTCAGATGTTCAGCTTCCGTTTCTTTCAAATACCTAAGTGTAAGTCCTACCAAGCTGAGCATTTCCTTGTCTTCGTCACTGCTCATGTCTTCCACAACCTTCCTATATGCGTCTGCCTGCATGCCCACCCCGCCACAATGTGACTACTAGGAAGGCAGGCCCCGTATCTTATTCATCTTTACGTCTTTATATACGTCCTCCTCTTAAAACACTGCTTGGCGCCCAGTCATGGAAAAAAACCCTAAACCATAAAAGGGGACGAGTCATTTTCCTTTTCCTAAATAGGTAACTGAAGCGTGAAACGGGCAAAAGTCGCGAGAAAGCTCTCTCCCCGCGTAGGGGCTGGGATTCCACGCGAGTACAGCTCGACGTGGGGAGAAACCCGCTGAACTCCCTGAC